CGCTTCCCGCCCGCCGCGCGCTCTGCTGCAGCCCCGGGGGCGCTGGGGAATCCCGCTGTGCGGTCACGGCGCTGCCGGTTGCGAAGGCCGGGAAACTGAGGCCGGGAGAGGTCGTGCGGCTCGCCCAAGGTCACCCGGCGAGCGTTCCCGGGAGGGGAGTCAGGGGCCCGGCCGGGAGAGAGGTCAGCGGGGGGAGCCCGGGCTTGCCCCAGCGGGCTCTGGGGAGAGGCAACGGGGCGGGCGAGCCGCCCTGCTCTTTAAGGCTCTCAGGACTTCCCTAACTTATTTCGCTTTGCTGTCCCCTCCTATTTGCAAGGAAATAACGCGGGCGCGCCGTCCTTCGTAGGCGCCTAACGCGGGACCCTAGGTGCTGAGGTCGATTACATAAAATCGCGTGCCCTTCAGGGCGTCTTTGTCATCCCGACTTGCCACCGGCTTGTCTTTCAGATCTCCCATAAACCGGCTGTGCCTGGAGGAGGAAGAGGGAGCCTTGCAGGAGCCTGTCCCCTCGTGGGGAGAGTCCCCTGACGCACGTGGGTGCTGATGTCCTCCGTCCCTTTCCGTCCCCTTCCCCAACAAGCCCTCCCTCAGGACGTTTTCAGGTTTCCTCAGCATGTGGAGTAAAATGTCCCCCAGCAGGCCAAAGACTCCTGAGTCTGTGCTGCCTTTCCCCCTCCAAACCCCATCCCAAGTCCTGGCCGCAGTGTAGCCTTCCCTGGACAGCTTTTCCAAGACTTCCTCTGCAAACCAGTCAAGGCACCATGCCCCCTCACTCCCCTCCCCTCCCCTGCTCGGGTCAGCCCTGGCTCACAGCTGGTAATTCTGTTACCGTGAGACCATGAGCATCTTGGGGCAGAGCAAGAATTTTGTTTTGCGGGGAGGGTCCCCAATACCTGGTGCCTTTGGGACAGGTGTGGGGGCACCAGAAATGTTTGTTGAAGGAACAGACCAGTGGAATGCCACTCCTGTGGCCAGCTGCCTGGAGCAGAATCTTCCTCCCATGCACATGAAGGCCTCCACAGCCAGAGAGGCTGAGAGTGGAAATCAAGGAGCACTAAGCTGCTCTGAGTCCCAGCCCCCAGTACCCACTGTCCTCAAGCACAAGCACCCCATCCCCTTTTCCACTCCTAGACTGCAGTGGCTCCCTGCAGAAGTGTCATTTCAGAGTTCCCAGTAAGAATCTTCTTCATGTCTCTCTTTGGTCTGAACTCTCAAGAGGCAGTCAAATGATAGGTTAAATATGTGGCCTCTGGGACCCCACAGCCTGGATTTGCGATTATGGCTCTGTGCTCACTAGCTGTGACCTATGTGTGCCTCAGTCTCCTCATCTGTAAAGTAGAGATGAGAATACAACCTATTTCATAACAGAGCCATGAAGATTAAACAAGGCAACTCATAATGAAATCCCCAAAACAATCTCCAGCACCTAGTAAGTGCTTAGCTGGTCTTTGTTGGGGTTCTTCCTGCATGGCTCTCCTCCTGGTCTCCCAAATCTCTCCTTCCCCTCAACTGTAGCTCCCAGGAGCACTTAGCAAACACTACCCCGTGGGATCCTCACGGCAGGACACCGTGCATTGCCCCAGGGCAGACTGAGTGAAGGACCTGGGACTCCAGGGCTCTATTTCTCACCCGGGGCCCAGAATGGGGCTTCTGGGACAGCAACATAGATGGTTGCAGCCCCAGCCCCTCCCTGACTCTCTGTGGGACCTTGGCTCATTCACCTGTGTGAGCTTCGGAGACCACATCTCCAAATCCAGGGTTATGCCCACAGCCCTAGAGGGCAGTTGGAAAGGTTCATGGGGCAATGTTTTCTCCTACAGCATTGGAATGGAATGCACATGCCTCTGGCTCATGCCCCTGCATCACAGGACCTACATGCTAGGGTGTGAGTCCCTGACGGCCACACTTAAAAGGAGGAAGGCAGAAGGGGAGTTCTGGGATGTTGGTGAGCCCCAGGGGAGGAGAAGGGGGACCAGATGCTGGACACTCAGCAGCCCCCTCGTCACTTGGCCTTACAGTCTCCTTTCCATTCAGGCCCACTACCCCATTAACAGTCCACACTTTGAGTAATCGCTGTTTTCATTAAGCACTTACTAAGGGGCAGGCTCTTTCATTCACTATTTTCAGTTTTCCCAAGAACCGGTAGGGAACATACTATTTATCACCACTTACAAATGAGGAAACCGAGGCTCACAGCAATTTGATACTTTGCTTAAGTCCCACGTCTGTCAGTAAGGGGTCCTAGACTCATGGACCCTCAGGCCTCCCTCCCTTCCCCATTCTTCCCTCCCAGGTGTCAGTCTGTGAGAGTCCAGCCCTCCTCCATCGGCAAGGTTGGCAGAGGAGTCTTGCTGGCAGCTGGAGAGGAGGGCTGTATACCAGGAAACTGACAGCAGAGGCACTGAATCTTCTGCTCCGGACCCTCCTTCTCTCTGAACCTTCCAAGAGGGCAGGTGCCCAGCACCATGAGTACCCACACGGGGTCCTCCAGGGAGGAAGGAAACGAATGTCTCTGTGAAACGCTCAGGAAATTGTCCCCACCCACCAACCTGGCTGAGCTGCTAGCTGTGGGGCCCCTCCACACCTGGACCACTCCTGAGGGCACTAACCCTCGGATCCCTCTGATGATGAGGAAATCTGATGTTGGGAACAGTTCCGATTATTTTGCAAGCCGTTGCAGATGGTACTCAAACTCGGTCTTCTGACTTTCAGGCCAGGGGTCTCTCCAGGCACCTACCAGGATTTCCTGAGCACATGCCAAGGGCAGGGACTGCCCTGGGTACAAGTGACCAGCCATGAACCAAACAGACTTCTGCAAAGCCACCTCAGGCTGGGCCACTGGGGCCACTCTCCCATCTGCATACTTTGTATCTGGCCTGGAGTGGAGGCCCTCAGCTGTAGTAAGAAGCTCTTCTCCCAGCTCTTATATGTCAGGGGTTCACCTCCCAGCCCCAGAGATAGAGGGGCACATCTAAAACCAGCCTCATCAAGTGTCGCCATCCCCATGCCATCTCAGGAGCTGCCCCATTATTCCAGCCAACCACCACCATGGCTGTCTGTCAGAATCCCCACCCAGCTCCCACCTACCACACCCACATATTGGTGTGGACAAGTACCTGCCAACCTCTCAGACATTGCCACAGAAACCACATGCCTCAGAGAATACACAAAAGCGGGCAGCGTGTTTCTGAGTTATCATGTTTGTTGCCAGATTGCTGTCCACACAAGTGTCCTATTCCTTTGGTTTAAGAAAGGTGAGCCCTATCCCAGATCCCCCAAGACCCTGCAGTGCCATGGGTGGTGAAGTTGAAATCTGGGCCAAGAGCCCGAGAGGCCTCGGTTTGACCCCTGGATCTCCTGCCTACTAGCTGTGTGATCTTGAGTCAGGTACTTGATGTCTCTGGGCAGGGAGAGGAAATCGGTATCTCCCACGATGGTGGCAAAGTGGATCCGTAAGGCTCATCATGGACACCAAGTGACCGTGCTGAAAGCTTTTGACTCTCTGTCCTCCCCATCACCCACAAGCATCGTTCCTGCTCCTGAGCACACAGCACACATCGCCCCGGGGGCCAGTCGTCTGCGGACCCCTCTGCCTCCGCAGCCCTAGCATCTGGCTGGGCAGTCAGTTTGCAGCAAGCCCTTGACACCTGTTCAAGTCCATTGTCCTCAAACACAGCGTCTCACAGCACCACTTTCCAGCTACCTGAGACAAATGAGTTTGTCATGTAAGACAAGCACCAAAAGATGGCACAGCCTTACCTAGAAATCAGTCATTTATGTGTCAGGCAGAAAGGCGCCAAGAATGTTCGCTCCGATCCCTGGCTCCAGACAGTTACAGGAAATGCATTTTCA